ACATCACATCATCATTTCTAGACTTGCATTTTCCCTTTCCTAAAAGCATGAATGCAAAAGTTTAACCTGGATTCAATGTGATCTTGGATGAGTGGATGAGTCAGTTAATGATACCAAGACCTTTAAATTAAAGTTAAAATTCTAGAATCATCCAGGATTCCTGGCTTTTCATACGATTTTAATCCTTCATCCAAGATCAGATGGAGTCAGAAGAACAACAAGTCGTCTTTCTTATTTTCTGAGGTATTGATAATCGTTACTAATTGTATTTTTTCCTCATACCAGGAGTTTAAAAATGAGAAGGAGTATCTGGCAGGGGACATGAGACAAATGCTGCTAACTGGAAAGGTAAACACGTTTGTAATGATGGTTTAATTTTAATTATATTCATATGAGTCTGTTTACAATCAGACTGGTTAAAGGGTTTTGCTTCAAGGCAGCTGTTAAAAATAACCTGAGGTTGAAAATCATGTCTTGGTTTAGCCAAAACCAGCTCCAGTGTTGGCAACGGTCAATAAGACTCTGACGGTACCAGGAAGGAGAGTGATTCAAAAGACCACTATCACCCCAGACACCAGCACCAACTCGTCTCCACTGGTCGCCACTAACAACAACAGGTAAACCCGAGCACACACCCGATCTGTTTGCTCACACTCTACAGCAAAATGGTTTTAATGACTTTAATACAACAGCACCACTGACACATCAGAGAGTCGAGCGCAGGAGAACAACGAGAACCCGGTCATGAAGACAGAAGAGATAAAGAAGGTAAACTACCTTCAGAGTTTCATATCTCTTTACCTATAGTGCCCGTGTCTTTATACTCAGGCTTCTCTGTTTTTATTTCTCAGGCTGATCTCACTCAGAAACTAACGCCTGAAGCCGGGATAGAAGCATCGCCTGTAAGACGACGCGGCCGTCCGACCAAAGCTGCGGCGGCGGCTGCAGCGGCAGCGCTGAAGGAGGCAGGCGCGCTACCAGCAGGAGGTGGAGCAGGCAGAGGCAGGAAGAGAGCGGCCGATGCTCCCACAGACTCCATAAATGTCAAAATGTCTAAACAGCAGCAGCAGCAGAGCGATGAGGGGATGAAGAGACAGATCGACCTGCAGAGGTATGAGTAAAACTAGCCGCTGTGCCACCTGCTGTCAGGAAGGGATAACTGCATTTGCCTAAAATCCACAGGAAATCTGTTTCAGTACAATGATTAGTTCAGTGAGGGTTTAAGGTGTCAGATGATGAGCTGCTGAATGGCGCACCTCATGTTTTTAAATGAAGAAAAGTAACAAAATTGGAAGAATGTAAAATGAGCCCAAAGATCAAACTAAGCTTCAGTTATAGTGAAGGAAAATTGCTTCCTTTTCTTTCTTTTTCTTATATAAACTTCTCCAGATGAGCGGTCACAAGGCGAAAATGTTGGGATTGTTTACGTTACAGCTGTATAAACTTTACTGAAGTTTGATCTCTTTACGTTTAGAAATTATTCACTTTTTCTTTTCAAATTGGGACTTTAGGGCAAACAAAAATCTTTTATTTTTTTAATTTTTTTATTTTCTAAATCAGTAGCCGGAACAACACGTTAAATTGGCAGTTAACACAGCAGTGTTAACTTGCTAACATGATAGCATTTAGATGCTAATAGGTTAGCTTAGCAATGACACGGTGCTGAGGATTTTGCCTGCATTGTTATAAGTCTGTACAGACTCATCAACCCAGATCCAAATGATCTTCAGCAGCGTTTCCAGCCTCATGTAGCACCATCTAAAATAGTTAACCTGTTAACAAGCTAAAACTTAATTATAAATGTTCATCATTTTATATGTGGAACCTGACAAAAATATTTATAGATAGAAACTTTCTAACAACTTACAACCACTAAATGAAACGTATTTGGCATTCTGTTTTGATAAGACTTGGTTATTGACCCCTTCTAAGGATTTTGCCTTCAGAGATCAGTAATTGGTAGACATATTCGGGACGTCCTGGCAGTGAAATTATGTCCTTTTGGGCTTCCATGCCCCTCTGCATTGAGTACATAGGACAACTAAAACAGATCTGCGCAAAAAGAACGTCAGAGAGGATCGTCAGGGCTCCTTTAAAGACATTTCATTCCAGCGCTGCGTGTCCCGAGCCCGTAACGTCATAAATGACCCCTCACACCCCCACCATGGACTGTTCTCCCTACTGCCCTCTGGGAAGAGGCTTCCAATGCAGGTCCAGCAGATTCCAGAACAGCTTCTTCCTCACTGCCATTAGACTGCTTAATATTGCATTAATGGGGTTTAAAACAAACAAAAACAGCTGAATGTTGTAAACTGTAAATCATATACCAGTCTAAGTTTACATTTTATCACTACGGCAATGTCTTGAGAGCTGTACTGAACAAAATTTCTTTTTATATACACTGTGTGTACAAAATGACAAAGTCTAAGAAAAACATGGTGAGCGAGCTGCAGCTCCTGCTGATGAGGGTTCACAAAACTAAACATTAATGCTGCAGATGGAGTTTGTCCGTGCTTTCTGCAGGGTTTCCAACACTGGTCCTCATGTTACTGTTCTTCGTGTTTTTGGTGTTTCTCTCCTACTGTATACCTGATTTAGAATAAAGGATGGTGGACAGGCATGTTTCCCTTAACGGCTTGCTGAAGAGCTAATGCAATCCTTTGGAGCAGAGATGCATCCAAAACATGAAGCCCTGAGGACCAGGGATGAAAACCACTGATGTAGATAAAAACCAAATAGAGAAGCAAATTCTATCTGATTTGGAAGGGATGTGGAAAGGATACAAGGAGATCTGAGATGATCTAGAGCCCATATTCTGACCTCTAGTAAGACAAGTACAGAAAATTACCAATGTTCTCTAACACAGGGTTCATACGTTTTTTTTTTTGTTTTTTTTTTTCCCTTAAAGACTACAAAAATAAACTCCTTATCCGATCCATAATTTAGATTTTTGTTACCTTTATTGTCATGGTTTGTTTTGAGTGGTGGTTTGATGCAAAATACTAAATAAAAATTAAAAAAGGAACAGATTTGGTTTAATATAAATGTCATTGGAATCAGATGATTGTTCCCTGATTAAAGCTTTGAAGGCACAAACCTGAGATAAAAAAAAAAGACTAATTCTGAGCTGTGCCTTTTTTTCCAGGTAAAGATGTGACGTGCGAAGATGAAATCCAGCCTGATGAGGACAGACCTGAATCTTCTCCACCCTACTCACAAGCTCCCTTTGACTCTTAAAGCTTTCTTGGAGATATAACGGACCTTCTCAACATAAACAGAATATACATACACGCACGCAGGCGCACATCAACACACCGTCATACTAGGAGGTTTTAAACACCATGTAGTCATCTATTGAAGCTCTCTGTATGTAGGTCTTACTCAGAAACATATTTTTCCTTTGTGTTTGATGCTCTTTGCTTCTTTTTTGGAGCCATTTTTAAGAAGAAAAAACGGTATGGACATTTTACAAAAAAAAAAAAACGTTTTAATCTGATGATTCTTGCTTATTAAATTCCCTGGGAAAAACAAAGTAAATCTTCTGCTGTTTTGAGTCCTGATGTCTTCCTCCTCTCCGTCTCTGCTGCAGGGTTCCTTTCCAGCTCACCGGTTGAGTTTGTAAATACACAAGTTCTAGCTTTGTAAATGTGAGTTGGCAGGAAAATCAAAAAGGGGGATGTTGAGTGTTTAGGGCAGGTTTTTAAAAGTTTTGTTTAGCTTTCTTTCGTGATCCATCAGGGATTTTGGTCATTTTAAGGTAAAACCTCCACCGTTCTTCAGTTTCAGACACATCTACATTTTCTTGTTTTGTTCCCTTTTCCGTTCTATTTCCACGCATCAACTAAGTGAAAACCTCCACTGTCGGGAATTTCTAGATGTAGTTAAATGATGCATTCCACCATATTTAATTTTTTATTTTCATTTTTTACAAAGAATAAATGCTTTTAGATGTTTGGGTGCCCTAGATTTGTCTTGATCCCCTTTTTTCCCCCCAGGTGAAAATCAGAAACAGACATTTTTATTTATTTTTTTCCCCCAGTTTTTTTAATCAAAGAAAAAAAAACATGACACTGTCACAATAAATATCCATGCTTTTTTATACTGCTGATGCTTGCTTCCAATAAAAAAAAAGGTCTCCGTTCAAACGGAGAAACTTTGAGATGCAACAGCCCCTTTTTTTTTTTTTACGCTTCGTCGACGTGCAACACCTTACAGCGAGAACAGCAGGAAGACGAGGAGGCCTCTAGTCCTAAAAAATAAAGTCGATCCAGCAGACTCGTCCACTCCAAGGATTTCATCACACCTCCCAGCTATTTACAGAAAGCAGACCATACCTTCTACCCTCTTTGAGATCGTCTCACCCATAATGCAACGGGAGGTCAGATGAAGAGAAAAGCTCTTAATAAATGGTCCTTGTGATAAAATATTAACGCAAAGCTTATCTGACCTGCATGTCTTTACATCCTGTATCTGAAAATAAAAATATTTAACAGGTCAGCATTATAAAATAGGACTTGCACCTCCGCTAAAGACTTCTTACCCACTTAAACAACCTTCGATGCAAACTGTTGTGAAAGGGAAAGGAAAACGATTCTATTTAAGCTTTGTACACATTAAAAAATTAATTGTTCAATTATTGCATGCTTTTAAAACACCTGCCCCCTTCATCGAAAAGAAAAAAATAGGATAAACACAGCTGCAGAGCTCCACTGCTCAGGTGGAAGAATCTCTTCACAACATATCTGATCTTCACAGAAAGGTAGAACACAATTTGCAGTCCCAGGTAGACTGTGCCTAATGCAGAAGACACTGTGGAAGAAGGCGCTTTTTGGCTGCCATGGAAAACCAACTAATAAGAGAGGGAGGAGGCAACGTTGGTGGGACGCTTCAGCAGGACAGGGGAGATATTTAAAGTGGATGGAGATGATCAAAACCTCAACTTGCAGCCAGAGCTGCTGTGAAACGGTCCTGAAGCACATATGTTACGTTAACCCGGGGAAAATCAAAAACTAGGATCATTTTCAGTAATTTAGTCCAGTCTGCTAGAGTCAAGGTGCACAAATTCTGTATTCAAAACATCTAGATCTTTCCTCTAACAGACTGCAGTCAGATGATGCTGCAGAGGGGATGTAGCTCTCTAGCAGGATGGTAGGACTGGGGCACCAGTGCCAGAGATGAATACCCATAAAGACTGCCACAGTGGTGCAGACAAAGTGAAAGCTTCCTTTGTTTTTGTTATATCTATATAACACCTTTTTCCTTCACACATATGTTCCAATTTGGTTTGTTACTTAAAACACTTAAAGGACATTTGTTTTAACTAGGTGGTGTGTGTTTAGGGGTTCAAAATTCAGAAATAAATTGCACTTTTACTGGAAATTCCCATATTTTTAAACTGGTTGTCCTGCAATGGGCAAACAATCCACCCTGACATTTACACCCCCTAATGGCCGCTCACCTGGACTGGAAAAATGTTCTTCGGGGAAAAGTGGAAGTTTTCAAATAAACACATTTCCAAGACACAAATTGGCCAAATGTAATAAAAGGATCATGCAAGGCTAAAATAAACTAGAAAATATTTGAATGTGAGATAAGCAGAAGGAGTTGGCATGTCCTGCCTACGCAGATCAGGAATCTGGAGGGGAAGAAGCCCAACACACTGAAAGAGGGCAAAAAGGGACCTCTGTGGGACTTTTCATGGATTGTAAAAAGTGCATCAGTAAAGTGAGCATAGTTCATAGTTTAAGTCCTGTCCAAATTGAGAGAGAAAAAAAATGTGTGTAAAACAGGTTTCAATTTTCAGCTTATTTTCTATGTGCATGAGGGCGAACGGTGGAGGATGTGAAGTAACTTTCTTGTTCAAATGTACAAAATGCAAAGTCCAAACATCAAAGTTCAAACGGTTCAGGAAAGAGCCAGTGCACCGCTAATGCTCAGCACTATCCAAGTCAAGTATATTTAATCCATCTTTTTACAGCATTAAAAGTCTGTAGGAGAGACATGGATGCACATTCCAGCTTGTTACCGGGGAGAAAAAACCAAGGTGGCGACAAACCACTGGCAGCTGTTAAATAATGGAGCACAAATTGGTGAGAAGAGAGGAAAACAATATGTTTGTTTGGGCTTATGAAGAGAAAGAAAAGCCTCAGTTTGATGGACAGGCATCAGAGTGGTGAACATATTGGCATCTGTGCTGCTGGTTGGTAGCAAGCTCCTAATAAAAGAAGGTTCAGACTGCTGAGCTGAACGTGACAAAAGTCGTCCGTTTAAAAAAAAAAAAAAAACGGGTGGCGTGGTGCCCAGAGGAGCCGGGGCACTCAGATGACCGGAGGGTTGGCGGGGTTTTTTTGTGTGCGTGATTGGATCCTCGCACCTGGATGGAACTCAGTTGCTGAGGAGAAGTTCTGTTGCCGTTTCCACATCCCAGGATTTTGAAGACAAGGCCGCTATCACTGCATTCTAAACACAAGAGGAGGGGAAATGGTTGAACATGTGATTATCTGCAAACTATTGCTTTTTTATATTGAAATATATAATTAAGAGCTATAAAACTTAATTTTCTTGGTCCAGGTTTGAACATTAGTTCCTCATTTCTGCTATAAAAATTCATTTTTTTTTTTACGTCCAAATAGGACGTGCCTTATTATTGCAGGTGGTCATTATAGATAGGAAGCCAAGATATCAAGGAAAAAAAAAAAAAAAGTTTTGTTTTTTAACTTTTTTTACTGGCAATGCTGGAAAGAATATATCAAACCTTTAAATTACTAATCCACCTGTATATAAGGGAAGATTGAGTGAGGCAGCTTTTTATTTACAGTCACAGCATCTGACTCCTTATGAAAAGGTATGTTCTCTAGTCTTCTCCGCTTTAAAGGCCGGCTAAGAGACATGGGAGGGTTTTGTACCATAATCAGATTTATATTTTACGAAAGCAGGAAGTTGTGAATATCCAAGTTAAAAGATTTTGATCAAATAAAAAAGAAAAATTTTACTTAAAAAAAAGGTATAGTGGAGGATTTTCACAAATATTTGAAAAGACCCACCCCCTCCACTGAAAAACAATGCACATGCACAACCCTGTAGCCGCTCCCGAGAGGATACACCTATTAAACACGTGGAGCCCCTTTCTCCTCTTGCATGCTCTGCTTAAAAGTTGCATCGCTCATACAAGCTTACTTTCAAAAAGTAGATTTGCAAATTTTCCACTATGTCAGACTCACCACTGGTAAATGAAAATGTGGAAGAGCACGGAGGAGGGCCTTACGTAAACATATCACCAGAATGATTGACAATTAGAAGGACCACTTATTTTGATGATCCACCTGGAAAAAGAACATCCTCCACTGTGCCTTTAACCCACAGCTTAATCAGTGAAGAATTAAATTACATTCAACTGATTCTTTACTACTATTGACTCATTTAAAGCCATTTTACACATTGCTATCAGAGGTGCAAATAGTTGAGGTTTCTGCCTAAACAGAAAAATAACAACAACCAAGAATCAACTATTTCATTACAAAAACAATATATAACTTCCCTCCAGTAGATGTCAATTATCTTCTACTTTTCTGACAGGTTTAAGCATCACATTAGAATTTAAACGTATAAAGGACGGTCTTTTATTCCGGGTGGATCATCTAAATAAGTGGTCCTCCTAATCGTCAATCATTCTGGGGATACGTTTACGTAAGGACATCCTACGTTCTTGCCTCGTTAGCTACATTTTTCTGCGCATGCACACTTTCAGGTGTGTATGTGTGGTGAGCTACGGTTTAAATCATTAAAGCTCACCTTTCTCACCACTGTTCTGTTGAAAGTGGCTGAGGGTCGCAAGAGAAAAAGTGTCTATGAAGTGTATGAGAAGAAAAGAAAGGCTTTAGAAGAGGCAGATATATCCCGGAATACTTTGCACGGAGTGCATTATGGGATTTGTTGTCACAGCCCGCGACTAATAAATATGGCGCTGGCACTGTCTGTGGACACAGTACGCTTGTATTAGCTACGAGTACAGCACATTTTAAACCGGGTGATCACAAGGAGAAAAGGGCTCGTGCATGCTCCTGCACGCCCATTTTTATTTTTTTCTTTAAAGTGGAGAGGGCGGGTCTCCACAATACCATTAATGTTGGGTTTCAATGCAGTGCAAAGGAAACAGGGCCGTGTCTCTAACCTTATCGAAGCCCATGGCGCAGAGTTTGTCTATTTTTCTCGTGTAGTCAGGACTGGAGACTGGAGCGCCTGCATAGACGTGCGACCACAGCCTGGCTGTCTGTTTGAACATTTCAGGGTTCTGCTTGTACTGAGGATTCAAAGCAGAACATTCAGTTAGTACAATTTCAACCCAGTGAAAATAGTTTTTACATGTTTTGGGTACTTGTTTTCTAAATAAGTTAAAGCACAGGGAAGCAGGAGTGTGGTAAAAAAAAAAAACAGTCAGTCTCACCTGGTTTGCAACTACTGCATCCTGTGGATCGTCTGGTTCTGCAGCAGCAAGAAGAGCCTGAAGGGACAACAGCACCGTCCGCAGGGTCATAGCAGCTGCCCTGAGTGAGACAGATTGAACACTGGAGTAGAGAAGTGGACGAGTTGACCTCTAAACACCACAGATCTCAGGGTTTAGCTCGACCCACTCACCACTGGTCTTTCAAAATGTCCAGACATATTGCTCCCGTCACCGAACTGATGTTAGGATGCCAGATCTTTGTGATGAAGCGCACCTGCAGAGAGGCAGTTGGGAGTCAGTCTTTACCAATGTGTATACGTTCGTACAATGGATTTTATTTTTTTACATGAAAGAAAAAAAAAACAATTGAATCTGTGATTTTAACTGAATGTTTAGAAGGAGCCGTTTGATCAGTCGCCTACATTCAAAGCATGGTTTAAAAAGACACGTATAGCCACTATTTCTAACTTGAACACAGTCACAACGTTGTTATAACTAAACATTTGTTTGCAGAGGTACATTTAATGCATACTCTAAAAAATTAGCAGCGGTTGAAATGTTGAGATTCTGATCACGGCTCTAACCTTGTGCCTTACTTTCTCTTTCACCTTTCTGTTTTGCAGAGTCATGGCGTACAAATGCATGGAGCCTCAAACACCGTCTGTCCAGAGACTTTCAGAATATTACACAATTTATATACGAAATATGGAATAAGACACTCACTATGTGACCGGAGTAAAAATCTGATATATAGTTAACAAACTGAGGATCATATTAAACGCCATTATTCGTCAGTTAACTTAAAAGGGAAAAGAGAAACCTAAAAGCAGCTATGTGTCGACTCAGTGGCTTCCTGCTGAAGGGAAAGTTCCTTAAAAACCGAAGAACAAAACCTTCAAAGCTCCCAAGCAGAAGGAGATCTACTGATAAGGAGGAGGTGATACCGCTCATATTTAAGCAGAAGCCTTTATCTCTGCTACAGATGGAGGCGCTCCAGTAAGTGACATAAACATATCTTTAACTAATCAAATCTTAATCTGAAGCATTTTGGAACTTCATCCTCTACAGCAGGTGTTTCCAAACCGGGGGTATGCATACCCTCTGTGGTCAGCAAGTGCATTGCAAGGGGTGCATTGAAATATTTTATTTATCAGGTAATAAAAAATAGGGCTGGGATCTGTTTTGCTTTGCGAGGACCCAATTGAAAAATTAAACAAGCTTTTATCAACCAAAAAGTTTCGTCTTTTTAATATGTTTGAGTTCACCTACAGCTTTTATGCACATTAAAACCAAGCAGAGGAACAGACTGGATGTAGAGATCAGCTGTTTTTCCACACTGAGCTGTAAGAGCTCATCAAAGCAGCTAAGGTGTCTTAATGAAAACAAAGTAACTAATAAGGCTCGGGCACAGCGCGTTGCATTCTGGGTACGCCGCCATATTAGTAGCTAGTTGCTACGGTTGCTATGGTAAACACAGACCTTTAACAGCATAGAGACCGAGCAGAAAGACGAGTAAACAGCGATGTTAAAAGCGAA